AGGAGGCAGAAAGGGAGTGGGGAGCCAACAAACTCAGGGATAAGGGAACAACAGATAGCTAAAATGGATGGCAAATAGGGCGTATAATGCCTAGTGGGGTTTAATCAAGTACAATGTATCTGAGAGGAATTACTGAGAGTTGAATTGGAGAGTGAGCATGATAGTGCAATAGGAGGAAGGTAAAGGAAATAGAGGAAAGAAACAGGAGGCAAAAACTATTTGTAGAAGTATAGCTATAGGCATGTATATATGTAAATATACGAATTTATAATGAGGGGATAGAGGTCAATGTACATATATTTATGTTAAGTATTAAGTTAGCAGATGGACTTTGGACCTCTACTCAAGGCCTCCCTTAACACAAGAACACTTTGTTCTAATAACCTGGCACTCTTTGATACTCACCTTCCCAACATGATATTTGAAGACAAAGTGGGTGCATAAGCAAATGTGAAAAAAAGCAGATGGTGCCCAGCTATCAAAAGATAAAGGGTCTGGGGTCTTAAAGACTTGAAGTTAAACAAGCATCCATCCAGCATGGAAGCAAATAAACCCACATGGAAGAAGCACACCAGCCTGTGTGATCATGAGGTATTGACGGGATTAGAAATCAAGTATCAAAAGATCCAATACAAACAACTATATTGATGTGAATGAAGAGGGTTTGAGTGGAGACACAAAGCCCATCTGTAGCCAATTGGATATCCCCTCACTGAAGGGTTATATGGAAGGGATGATTCAACCAAGGTGCAGTATAACACTGACAAAACACACATCATTCCTCTAGTTCAGCAGTTCTCAACCTGTGGGTTTGACCCCTTTGGGGCTCGAACAACCCTTTCACAGGGGTCGCCCAATTCATAACAGAAGCAAAGTTGTAGTTATGAAGTAGCAGCGAAAATAATTTTATGGTTGTTGGTCACCACAACATGAGGAACTGTATTAAAGGGTTGCCGCATTAGGAAGGTTGAGAATCACTGCTCAAGTCCCCGAATACTTCCTTCCCACCACTTCATGACCCAGTTCTACCTTATAAATCTGGCTAGATGGCAGAACACACATTGGTACAGAGAAGAGCTCTGGACACATGGAATTCATCACAGATTAACCTCTCAGGAACAGTAGTGGGAGTAGCAATATCATGAGGTTAGGGGGATGGCCGGAGAGGGGGAAGGGGAAGAAAATAGGAACCCTCACAATATTGGATATAAAGCCGCCCACTCTACCCAAAGGGGATGATTAGCAGAAATGTGGGTGAAGGGAGACAATAGATAGTGTAGGATATGAAATAATAATAACAATATATAATTGATCAAGGATTCACGAGGGTGGGAGAGTGGGGAAGGGAGGGATAAAAAGAGGAGCCTATACCAAGGACTCAAGTAGAAAATCTTTTGGAAATGATGATGACATATGTACAAATATGTTTGATACAATTGATGTATGGAATGTTATAAGAGCCCCCAATAAAATGATTTTGACAAAACCCCACACAAACCAAAAAAGTTAAAATTCTTTATAGTAGAGAACATTTTTGAAACTTTAAAAGATATTGGCAATAAAATTATTTATTTTTTGCTCAGTTTTCAATTATATGAGATAGCACACAGTCTAAGATTTCTTCAGGAACACTGAACTTATCGATTTTGTTTCATATACCTGGTGACTTTAAGAAATTCATGGAAATGTTTCATTATTCTTTAATTCCACTTTCCATGTACTTTCTTGAAGACGCTTGCATTTTTATGCACAAAAAGAGGACTCTATGTGCTATGTAAAACAGCACATTCCAGGACAGTCTGCCCTCTAAACCTGAGCTCTAAACTTTGCACTTAATGAGACCATTTTCTATTAGCTGTTCTACTCCTGGATTTCTGTATTCCCAACGATTTTTCAGGACCTTCTATAGAAACCTTGAAGTCAGCAGACTTAGGTCCTGCTGAGGCTTTGTAACTGAAGTTACAAATGGTGACAGATAAGGTGAAGCTACAGATCACTTATTTTTAAGAACCTCTTTTCTTGGGACTGAGGAATGGCTGCTATAAAATGTTAGTGACTATATTCAATCAATCGATTGACCAAAAGGTATACCCCCCAAAGTAAGTCCAAGCTTACTTAGAGATTTCCCTTTTATTCCTTCCTAGAGCTATACTGTGTCCTGAGTTATAAAGTGACATGAGTGGTGCCCACTCTACTTACCTCATGGGACTTCTGTAAAGTAAAACAACTAGAAAAAAAGGCCCACTGCCGTCAAGTATATTCCAACTCATAGCAACTTTATAGGACAACCCTTGGACATTTCCCATTGAATTTCCAAGACTGCAAATATTTACTGAAACAGACTGTCACAGATTTCTCCTGCCTATGAAGAATAAATACCCATTTGGATAGATGAACTGTCCAAATTATTAACTACTAGGCACTGTTGCAAAATAGACAGGATTATATCTATGTGAACACATTAAAAAGCTGGGTCTTGAATAGGTCCTCTTTGGGGGGAGGTGCCTTTGGTGCAACCAATTTGCCCTGGCCACTCTTCACTTTTCTTTGAAAAGAAAATAATCTTTTTTTTTAAAATCAATTTATTGGGGCTCATACAATTCATCACAATACATAGATCAATTGTGTAAAGCACATCTATACATTTGTTGCCATCAT